TTTAAATCAAATAAAATATGGATTATGGTGTCAGTGCCACTGTTACTGGCAATTGCTTTTGAAGAGAACAGCGACTGATGGCATTGGTATGGGATGATGATAGATGGCAGCAGGGCTGGCTCTGTTGTTATCTGCTGTTATCTTCCTGCTTCCGGTCGCACACTCTTCTAAGCACAGTCTGCACCTGCGCCACTGTCTTTGATACCTACAGGATATTTTGTGTATTCTGTCGAAATGTGTTCCCCGCCTCCCATCCTTTGGAGAAGATAACTCTCTTCTGCTGAGAGAAAAGACATCCTGTGCATTCTCAGAGGCCCTTAAGCAACTAGAAACCTTGAAACAAAACAAAAAATTCAGCACCACGCTAGGCACAGAACTTCTGTCACAGGAGAGGTATCAAGAAGAAGCAGCCATAAAATTAAGAACACTCCACTCAAGAATGGAAGGAATAAATCAGAAGACTAGATCAATGAAAGTTACTTTCTGCCACACTGAACTAGCATCGAGCACCGGATAGCTTTGGAAGGGAAAAAATCCCTATTAAAAAAAATAAAATCAAAAGAATACAGCACGGAAATAGTGGGCCTTCCCTTTGTAAGGGGTGCCAATTATTCACTAGGGCTGAAGAGGGACATATAGGGACAGACACTTCTGTATCCATACACCGTATGTGACCTCGGAGCAGGGAGACAGGCCGTGAGGGACTGAGCAAGGCATAATTCCAATTGCCAAGGCAACAAGTCAGGCGGTGGCCTCAGCACTGCCGAGGGACAAGGGTTGGATTAATCCCAGTGGCTTCTCCCCAGGAACAGATGGGACTTGCTACTGATGACAAGGTTTTGCGCCAATGGCGAGGCCCTGCAGCCCATCTTTCTTTGAAAGCAGAAATCTTCTCAGTGAGGACCAGAGCCTCCATGGTACCATTTGAGGCTGTTTAATACAGCAGGGGTCTGCAGGGGTCTACTTGCTAGAAAATCAGTTCACCATGACAGTTTTAGGTCATTCAGTCTGTTGTCTTAGGGGGGTACGCTGTGAGAGATTTCAGACCCAGTAACACAAGTAATTGGCTTCCACTCCGTCAAACTCAGAAGCCCCTGATTAATCTGCAGTCTTATACAGTGGTGCCTCGCTAGACAGTTACCCTGCATGACAGTTTCTTCGCTAGACATTGACTTTTTGCGATCGCTATAGCGATTCGCAAAACAGTGATTGCTATGGGGGAATTTCGCTGGACAATGTTTGGTCCCTGATTTGCAAACTGATTTTCGCTAGACGACAATTTTGACAGCTCCCTCCGCGCTCGCAAAACAGGTGTTATCGGGACCTAAGCTTCGCAAGACAGCTATTTAAAAAGCTGATCGGTGGTCCGCAAAGTGGCTTCCCTATGGATGATCTTCGCTAGACAACGACGATTCTTCCCCATTGGAACGCATTAAACAGGTTTCAATGCATTCCAACGGGGAAATGCTTTTTGCTAGACAATGATTTCGCTAAACAGCGATTTCAATGGAACTGATTATCATCATCTAGCGAGGCACCCTTTAAGAAGAAAACAAATCAAGCAAGCAAACATGGACAGAAATAGAGCACCAAAGTTCAGCAGACGTATACCTTACATTACCAGTCTAGGCAGGTTTTAGAGGCCTTAAAAGAGAGCCACAGTCAGGATCAGAAATGGCTGATTTTGAGGCCTTGTGCAATGTTTCAGATTTTGGCCCAGGGATGGACAAAGTGTACTCCTCGAGGGTCAAATTTCATTCATCTTTTAAAAGTAGAGACAGCTTTGGAGAGTAGGAAAGAAGTAATTCCCCAGGAACATATTCGGAAGAAATCAGATTCATTTTGGCAGCCTTACTTACAAAGCTGCTTTGGGCATTTCAGCCCCAAACAGGCTTTAGCCAGATCTGTAGGTTACCTCATCCCGTCGCGAGCGTGCCCAAGGCCGAGTGAGCAATGCTGTGTCTCCCTGTATCACTGCCAGGTCCCCCACCAGCGGGGAAGAGGGGAGACTCTCATCTGCAGCCAGTTCAATGACTTGGAGCCCTAGCTTCTGTCGCAGGATCCCTGTGTAGACGCCATACTGCCGATGAGCCTTGGCCAGGTCCACCGGCTCATTCTCGATGTCGGAACCGTCAGCCGTCGGATCTGCTGTGCCAAATGAGGAGGGAATGCAGCGGACGATGGCGTGAGTGTACTTGCCGAATGAAGAGATGGTGGCCATGGTCTGGAGCGAGATATAAGGGTATATATAATATTTAGCTAGCAAATGAGCCTTTTTCTTGAGCAAATCTGATTCACAAATCAACACCCTTTCAGTGGTTTCAGTAACCGAACCTGTTCCAGTTTAATAACTAAAAACCACTATCAACCATTTTTTCATCCCTAAAAATGTACGTTTTGTGCTTAGACCCACTACGAATTGAGAGCTGCTAGTTTTGGAAGCACTGATGTCCTGGGTTTGAATCCTTGTTCAGTAGGAACCTCACCACTCTATCGTACCTGCCCAGATTAATCTACCTCATAGGCTTGTTTTGAAGATAGAAGGGCATAGAATTGCACTGTTTTACGTTCCCCTAGAGAAAGAGTGGGATCTAAATATGAAGGGCAAGGACGACTCACCCCACCAGTAAGCAGAAACATAGGAAACACCTTTTATCAAATGCTACAGATTGATCTCTATATTTGGACTGGCAATGGCACTTTGGCTTTACCAGCTGTGTTTTCCCTGTCATTGCCCATCACGGTGGAATCAAGTATGAACTTGCAGAAAGGAGATAGTAGGTTTCTCCCTATCACCTAGGAATCTCTCAAATGAAGAAAGATGTCCTCATCTGCCTCACCCTGGCCCCCCAAGACTGTCTGTATCAACTGCCCCTCCATCCGCCTAGTGCTTTGTTGTAAGCTGCCTAGAGTGGTCTATTGACCAGATAGGCGGGATACAAATAAAATAAATAAATAAATAAATAAATAAATTTGAGCCTAATGCTTTGTTGGACTACAACTGCTATCATTCTGAACTGGGACGATGGCAGATGTACTCCAAGAAGGCACCAGACTGCAACTGCTATCATTCTGAACTGGGATGATGGCAGATGTACTCCAAGAAGGCACCAGGTAGGGCTGCTGCAAATAATATTCCTGCACAAACTTACTTTATATTGAGGGAGCTTATAGGACATTTTTTGACCCTATTGGATTTCCAGTGTATTGAGGGTTAACAAAAGGGCTAATACTATGCGCAGAGCTAGGGTTAAACGTACCAGTGGTGCCCGGAACGGATTAATCGTCGCTATCCGGAAACATCGCAATGCGGGTGGGAAAACCCCCATAGAAACGCATTAAACTTTCATCACTAAATGGAGTGATCGTTATGCGAGGCACTGCTGTACATCTCTTGTACTGTACTTCTTGAACCGACTAGAACCTATCAGAGTTCCTACACACACTGGGGCTAACAATAGTCTGTAATTTCTGCTTCTAAGCAGCAGCATTTTTTAAAGAAAGTGGTATTTTCACAGAATCATGGCTAAATGGAGTGATCGTTATGCGAAGCACCACTGTACATCTCTTGTACTGTACTTCCTGAACCGACTGAGAACCTATTAAAGTTCCTACACACACTGGGGCTAACAATAGTCTGTAATTTCTGCTTCTAAGCAGCAGCATTTTTTTTAAGAAAGTGGTATTTTCATAGAATCATGGAGTTGGAAGGGGCCTATAAGGCCACCGATTCCAACCCCCTGCTCATTGCAGTAATATGGTGATTAAAGGATATCTGCCAGGTGTTCCCCCCATACATTACATTGGATGGGACATAAAAGTACTCCAATAGTGACAAGCAGTATACAAAGAAAGTGGTATTTTCACAGAATCATGGAGTTGGAAGGGGCCTATAAGGCCACCGATTCCAACCCCCTGCTCATTGCAGTAATATGGTGATTAAAGGATATCTGCCAGGTGTTCCCCCCATACATTACATTGGATGGGACATAAAAGTACCCCAATAGTGACAAGCAGTATACTTGTTTGGGAAATTTTTGCCGTGGCTTGTTTTATATGTGGGGGGGGAATCCATCCGTACATGGCATGTGGCTGGGGACACCGTTGATAAACGTGCAGATCACAAAGCTACTGAATGCCTACCTTATAGGTCTAGCACTGAATCCTCAACATATCATGACCCCAGGGGACTAAAATGTCCCATCCTGGTGCATGATGGTTGAACTCAAAATCTGGGCAAGCAGCACTTTCCTCCTAATTCTTCACTCTGTGTGGAAGAGGGATAAGTCTGGATAGCCTAGTGGTTTAGGTATCTGGCTGTGGAGGCAGAGGTTGGGAGTTTGATTCCCCATCGAGCCTCCTTGACAGGGACTGGACTCGATAGTTCATAGGGTCCTTTCCAGCCCTGCAGCTCTAAGATTGTTATTGTTATTAAATCAATTATCTGGACCCAGCCAGGTAGGCCCTGATCTGACAGTCCCACCAGCTCCCAACTTCCTGAGATGTTAAAAGTCTTCCCAAAGCCAACCTATGGCACCTAAGGGCAATAACTGGACTCGATAGTTCATGGGGTCCTTTCCAGCTCTGCAGCTCTAAGATTGTTATTGTTATTGAATCAATATCTGGACCCAGCCAGGTAGCCCCTGATCTGACAGTCCCACCAGCTCCCAACTTCCTGAGATGTTAGAGTCTTCCCAAAGCCAACCAGTGGCACCAAAACGCAATAGTAGATTTCCTCTTAGCATCAAACTAAACAGATAATTGCTTCCACAAGGAAGCCAATCAAGGGATCAGTGAGCAGAGGTCAACTCTGCTGGGTTGCATGTTCTACGCAATCACACTGCAAAAGTTCAAGAGTTAATGCCAGACACTGAATATCCAACATCTGCACATCCTCTGCACAGCTTAGATCATACAATACACATTTTTAAATACACAAGGGTTGTGAAAATAAGTTTCAAATTACAGTATAGCACACAGCTACTACCAGCTAATATCTCAGAGATGAGACAAAGGAGTGAGCAGAAATATCTGCAGTAGCACACAGCTACTACCAGCTAGTATCTCAGAGATAAGACAAAGGAGTGAGCAGAAATATCTGCAGGGCAAAGGGCACAGTTTCAGCAGCTTTGTAGAACTGTTTCCCATTCTCTATGGCCAGCCGGAGCAGAATAATGTATGCAAACTATTCAAATCTGCTTCAGCTCGAATCATTTAGACAGATGGTAGAAATTCAGCTGTCCTCAGCACAGAGTTTGATGGACTTCGGCAGAGAATGCTGATTAAGGTTGCGGCAGTTTCTGTGGCAAAATAATGCCAGCTTGTGTTGGAGATACTCTTAACCTCTCTTCTCCTAAACTTCTCACCCACCCAAAATCTGATTTTCTGAAAGTCCTGTCTTCATTTCCAGAGTGGAGCCAAAGATTGAGGAACCCTATTGTGTTTAGTTTTCATATTTCCAAATTCCAGGACTTGAACTTGCAACCCCACTACAGATAGAGCCTTTGCTCCACACCCTTAAGCCATCACTCTTCCCCGGTGATGGTTGATTTCATGGACAAGAATTTCAGGTGAGCAGCAGTCAAAATGCTATACAAAAAAGAATCAACAGGCACACGTATACTCCATCAATCAAGATTGCTTTTTCATACTGTTTTATTAATCCATACATGCACACAAGTTACTCAGAGAAGAAAGAAGATGCAAATGAACTCAAAACCATAACAAACATGATTGAGCTGCAGGGAAAGGGGGGGTCTCAGCAGTTTTGAAAGCCATCTGTGATGCAAATAAGGGCCACATGTGGTTTCCAGGGCTGTGAATTGTGCATCCCTGGGGTGGCCTAAGAGAGATCCTTACTTCCTCTCAAAAGCATGGCCAGGTCAAGCATAACAGTGGCACACTGCGTCCCTGCTCCCTGCCTATGCATAATCACATTTTCTTCTCAGAGGCTGTCTGGTCATCTTCTTTTGCATATGAACCCACAATCCCTAGAGATAACTTTAAAAAACAAAGGCTATCCATTTGCAGACATTCTTAGCTGGTCTTCTTCCATTTAGAGCTGGGAATGTTGGCTGGGAGAATGTTAGTGATTGAAAAGAAGAAACATTTCCAACTCAACTTCCATTAAGCCGTGGTTCCCAACCTTGGCTCTCCAGATGGTCTTGGACTACAACTCGCACAAATTCTGGCCAGCACACCAAGTAGTGAAGGCTTCTGGCAGCTGTAGTCCAAAAACATCTGGGGACCCAAGGCTGGGCATCACTGCTCTAAAGGAATGGAGATAAAGGACTGGCACAACCAATCAGCCACCCCCACTAGAGAATGAGTTCTCATATAGCAATACCTTAATTGGATCATTCCAGGATGAGGCTTCCTAGGTGCACCTGCTGAGGTAAGCTACAATAAACCAATTAGCTACAGGGCCTCAAGGCCTTTATTCATCGAAGATGCACCCTGCCCCCCCCCATACAAACAGTCCAAAAGAATTGCTACCAGCTTCTTTTCTTTATGGAAATCCTACGTCAAGAAAACCAAGGTGATTCTTTCTTAGAGACGGGATCAGTTTCATTGGATATTCCCACCTGCTTCTTTAAAAATCAATATCATGTTAACTTCAGCAATAAGCCTGGTTATAGACTGCTTATAACCACTTCAGCACGGATCAAGCGAGTACTGCACACATTTCTGCCAAGGGTATGAAGGTGCCGGGGGGGGGGTGTTTGAGGCCAGGCAGGCACCTTGTTTTATTCACCACCTCATGCTGCTCATCCTCCTCCCACCACGAACTCAGCCTCCAGCCTATCCTTTGTTTAAACTTCATAATATGTGGAGGAATGACAGTCTGTAATGTTGTAAGCAGTCTCACCTGGGAGTTACATGCCAACAAACACAACGTGCCTCATTTGTTTATTTATTGTATTTCTTTAGTGCTTTTCTGTCCAGCAAGCTGCCAATATCATGACATTTAAAAACAGATGGAAAGCGTTTAAAACTGACTAAAAACATTATTTGAAGCCAGGTCTAACATTCTCTAAAAGCCAATCATTTAAATAATAACGACAACAAAATATTTGGAACAACAGTGTTCTAGCTACCTATAGACCAGTGGCTCCCAACCCTGGGTTCCCAATGTTCTTGGACTACAATTCCAAGAAATCCTGGCTACCACAAGTAGTGGCGAAGGCTTCTGAGAACATCTATGGACCCAAGGTTGGGCACCAC